TAATATAATATAATATAATATAATATAATATAATATAATATAATATAATATAATATAATATAATATATATAAAAATATTATATATTCTATTCTATAGAATATGCATATGTGTGTATATATATAATATAAATCAGAGAGAGATGCTCCTGCCAAAACAATTCCCCTATCTGTTGTTTGTTTGCCTTGGGAGCAAGAAGAAGAAAGAACAGTATCTATGATTATTTTGATCTTGAACTGTTACCAGGAAAATTATGTGACTGTAAAGGCTGTGTAGAACTCAAGCTGATCGACTGATCTGCATCTAGGCAAAAATATCAGTATTTCTGGGAAGTGGCACACCTACACCCCACTGGCTACGCTGCTCAGCTGGGGAACAAACTGTGAGGCTCACCCTGCTGGGAAGCTCATGTTCTGCAAACACATTGTTTGCTGTCACATGGAAGATGTTTCTGACTGGAAATCACATGAAGATGTCATGAGTGGAAATCAACCTTTTCCTTCCAGATGCCAAAATGCATAGACATATACATTCCTTAACAGGAAATCTGGGGAACTCCAACAAATTGATTAGGTCATTTCAGGAAAATGTGTCTACCTCATTAATTTTTTCTTACTTCCTGAAACTCAAAAGCATTATTTCTTATATAAGCTGTGGCTAGCCTGTGATGCATATGCTTCACATAGAAGTTCAACCCAAGATTCATAGGTTCTGAGGGAGTAGCCATAAACTCCTTTTCAAGTCAGTGATGCACAAATCTCACCAGCTAAAATAGACCAGACTTTTCCCTAGAAAAACTGTGCCTCTTCTCTGCACCCAGAGTCAGCTTGATGACACAAGAGAGGTGTCTTGAGCTGAGAGACATCAACCTAACACAGATCCCTTTTGCAGTCATCTCATGTGCTTCTCAGGCAATTGGTCTGCTGGGGAAGCAGACCAGTTGTTCTGCTAGAAGAACACAGAGAGAGAGAAACTAGTGTCAGTTGCACACAACTTAGGAAAACAGCTGGATCAGAAATTAAACACTAGATCACACTTGCCGGACTTCCCAACAGAACTGTTCCAATGTAACAGCTCACCTAATGGCATAAAAGTTACTGTCAGTTGTACTTGAGACACTGATGAATACTTAAACAAAAACATCAGTAACATGATTAATAGAATGCTATCTTTCAAGGCTTGACACAGTTCCATTGCCATTCCCCATCTGGAGAATAATCGCAGAATCACAGAATTGTAGGGGTTCGAATGATTCAGAGATCATTGAATTCAGGCTCCTTATAGCAAGCTGCACAGGTAGGCATCCAGGTAGGCCTTGAATATCTCTACAAAAGGAGACTCCACAACCTCTCTGGGCAGCCTGTTCAGAGCTCCATCACCCTCACCATAAAAAGTTCTTCCACGTGTTTTCATATTAGTTCCTATGTTCAGGTTTTAGGCCACTGCTCCATGTCCTATTGCTACACACCACTAAGAAGAGCCTGGTCTCATCCATTTGCCAATCCACAGTCATTACTCTCTGATTTCCTCCTGCTCTCAGTACAGCAGAGACTTCATCTCTCTGTTCTGGGTTTTGCAATGGCCAAACTAAGGGACCCAACATCATCTTCTGCTAAGACCCGGGGTAACATTCACAAGCATCCCACCAGTCTCATGACTTTTGGACTCACCAAGGGCTAGGACATGAAAGATACTGCTCTGGCCTCAATCATACTGAGAGATCACAAGTCAGTGTATGATTTTCTCAGAAAACAGAATGAGGGAAAAAAATAAAAGCACCAGCAGACCACACACGCAACCTTCGACTGGCTTACAGAACACACAACCCCGCCCCGCTCCCTCAGACGAGGCCACGCCCACTCCTTGTTCCCGCCCATTCTTGTTCCCGCCCATTCCTATCCTCGCCCCTCTGCCTTCCCCGCCGTCCATCTCCGTCGAGAGCCAATGAGAGAGAGGCAATGCCTGGTTGGTCCCACCCCCAAGCAACGGGCGCTTCCGGCGGAAGGAGGGGCGGTGGCGCGCAAGATGGTGGCGGGTGGGCTGTGCTTCGGCGGGCTGCTCAGGTACGGGGCGGACGGGTGGGGGCGGCCCCGCGCCCCACGGCCCTGCCGAGCCCGAGGAGGGAAGGGGAAACTGCCGGCCCAGCGTTGCCCTGACCGGCTGCAGTGCTTCGGAAGGCAGGCCGGGCAGGAGCTGGGCTGAAGGAGGGCCCTGAACATCTGTTGAGGAGCCTCTGTGCGCCTTGTGCTGTGCCACGCTGCTGCGTATATCGATATACTCCAAGAGTATATATGTGACACGTTGAAATAGAGCGGGTGATGTTTATGTAGTGTAATAACACAAACATAAATAATGTTAATAAACTATAACTGACATCTGTAAAAAAAAAAATATGTCAGTCTTTTTTAGTCTACGCTAAGCAGTGTAGAATAGTGATTTTTGAATGTAATTGTTGAAATGGAGCAGGATTGCTGATAATTTCAGCGGTTAGAAGAACTCAAGAAGTTGTCTGGCACCCTCTGGCTCTACCCTTACACCCTTGTGTATGGATTTCACATGCAGTGAAACCAGCTTTCTATTTTACAATTTCCACCTTGTTTCAGATTGCTGTGCTCGTTGTTAATCCCTGCATTGTTTCTAAGTGGAGTTCTGTGCACCTGCTTGGCCGTCCTGCTGTGTGGAATTCGGCTCTGGATACAAGGAAGGAGAAAGCAGCAGAGCCCAGCAGGAAGGGATGGGAGGCGGCCATTGCTGGTTGCATTTTTTCATCCCTATTGCAATGCAGGTGGTGGAGGAGAGAGAGTCTTGTGGTGTGCCATAAGAACGCTCCAGAAAAAGTAAGCACATCTGTTTATCAGTTGATGCCATGTTTCACTCTGTTTCTCACGATATCATTTATGCATACAGTGATATTTTTCACATTTAAATAGATATCATTGATACACTGATCCTACGTTTCACCTTTCTTCTTCAGCCCTTTACCCGCATTTTGTTCTGTCCTCTGTCTCCTTCATAGCTGTGGCACCTGTCAGTTCACCTGGTGTAGGGATCCTGCTTTGGCAGGGGGGTTGGACTCGATGATCTCTGGAGGTCCCTTCCAACCCCTACGATTCTGTGATTCTGTGATTCTTTCCTCCTTGGCAGAATCTATCCTTCTCCATCAGTTTTGCAACACTCGTAGGGAGCTCTTAGGGACATAACTTATGTGTAGGTAACTGATGATCTAATCTCAATAATGGCCTCTTAGTGCAGGAGACTAAGTTAATACATAAAGTGGATTCAGTATTGGCACATCCACTGGCTTGCACAGTCCTCTGCATTTTATTCATGCTGTATGCTGGATGGACATCTAATGTGCTGCAAGGCATTCCTAAATCTGCTGATTAATACTGAGATCCTTTTCTTTAAAAAAGATTCCTGGTCCCCAGCTCTTACTTAAAAAAAACAAAAAAAAACAAAAAAACAGTGTAAGGGAAAAAATTCATATAATCAATTTAGTTACATGTAAGTTGTTCCAGAAGTAGGCCAGACATTTGATTTAGAACACACATTTTGGTAAATTTTGAGTGGATAATATTTGAGTTTTGCGTTAGAAAATTTGATGAGAAGAATGAGTGAAATTCTCTTTTCTTCCAGGTACAAGAATGCAATGTGTGTTGTTTACACTGGTGATAGAGATGCCACTGAAGAAGACATAGTAGAAGGTGCTTTCAGAAGATTCAACATTAAATTAACTCATCCTGTGAAGTTTGTGTTTCTGGAAAAACGCTATCTTGTGGAAGCTTCTCTTTATCCTCGCTTCACTTTGCTGGGACAAAGTTTAGGCTCCATGTTTCTCGGTTGGGAAGCTCTACTCAAGTGTGTTCCAGATATTTACATTGACTCAATGGGTTATGCTTTTACGCTCCCCCTCTTTAAATATTTAGGAGGTTGTCGTGTTGGATGCTATGTCCATTATCCCACCATCAGCACTGATATGCTTTCTGTAGTTAGGAATCAGGATACCAGGTTTAACAATGCAGCTTTCATTACAAACAATCCTCTCTTCAGCAAATTTAAACTTGTCTACTACTACTTGTTTGCCTTCATGTATGGATTGGTGGGTTCCTGCAGCGACGTGGTTATGGTCAATTCTTCCTGGACACTAAATCACATTCTTTCCCTCTGGAGAGCTGGGGCTTGCACTAGCGTTGTGTATCCACCATGTGATGTTCAGACCTTCCTGGATATCCCACTGGAAGAGGAAAAGAACAGTGCTGAATATTCTATTGTTTCTGTCAGCCAATTCAGGCCTGAAAAGGATCATCCTTTGCAAATCCGAGCCTTTGCTAAGTTGCTGAAAGAGAAGAGACTGAGGCAGCAGCTCTCACTGAAGCTTATTTTAATTGGAGGCTGTCGGAACCAGCAAGATGAAGAGCGTGTGAATAACCTTAAATGTCTTTGTGAAGAGCTTGGAGTTAGTAACAGTGTGATGTTCAGAATAAACATTCCCTTTGAGGAGTTAAAGAAACACCTGGCCGAGGCCACCATTGGCCTGCATACGATGTGGAATGAGCACTTTGGCATCGGTCAGTATCTGCCCTCAGCTGTCAGCTGCTTGTCTCAGTGATCAGAACACAGATGGGGAGGGCTTCACTTTGTGTTTAAACCTAAGAGCTCTGCATGCCAAACAGGTGACCAAGTCCTGTTCTTGGCAGTGGTGATCTAACAGAGGTAGAACCTTCAAGCCGAGTTGAGATGACAGAGCTACTAGTAGCACCTACAGATGCTATTGTAGTGCTAGCTGGATTGTTGTAAACATCGCAGACTGCATTATGGGCATCCTCTAGTCATTTAGACAGCAAATGCCATCTGTTTAGGATGTCCTGCCTGACATTCAGCTATTACTCTGCAAGCACAAAGTCCCTGCAGCTGAAGGCCCTGTGTTACATGTATCAGACTTACACAGATGCCTTCTGTTCCCTGCAGAGCCTATGCTGAAGCAACTTAGTGCCCTCTTGACTTCACTGACTGCAAGGGGAGTTTAGACACTTAGAAACCTAGCTCACGTGCAGAGAGATTTTGAATGTTCCATCTGCCTTAACTGCTATTTGAAATGCCTAATATCTGTCAGAGGGCTCTAGCTGCTATTTCGGAGGTGAGTTTCTCAGAGATTCTGTATTATATATATCTATCTATATATAAGTAAAACGCCTTGTGAACGCCACTAGGCACCTTAGGCCATCTCCATTAGATGCCTGTGCTAACGTAAGTCCTAAAATCAGTCACTGTGGTGTGAAACTGAATCTCAAAGAGGGGCTGAGACGTGGTTTGCAGTGTAATGCCATGCAGAATTAAGGTATCAGGCACAATTTATTGGGATTAGTTGGGTATTCCTGTCTTCCCTGAAAGGGAATGTAAGATTGCCTGTGTCATACAGCTACAATATGGTAAGTTTGGAGGCAAACAGAGGATTACTGAGTTTGGCTATAAAGTGACCAAGCTGATGTTAATGTCATCAGACTTTATTAGAATCAGAGCTTGTGAAACCATTTAGTCTGTATTTTTCACACTTATCTAGAACTCTGGTCTATATTAACTTATAATTCCAGGTGAATTTTATTACGGATTTAAATTCCCAGTGAACTATTGGAAGCCAAAATATGCAATGTACACATTCATGTTGTGTTTTCTGTCTTTTACAGGAGTGGTTGAATGTATGGCAGCTGGCACAGTTATCCTGGCTCACAATTCTGGAGGCCCCAAACTGGATATTGTGGTACCTTATGAAGGACGTATTACAGGCTTCCTAGCAGAGAATGAGGACAGTTACGCTGAGACAATGGCTTACATCTTTTCCATGACTCCTGAAAAAAGGTTAGAGATCAGAGAAAGTGCTCGCCAGTCTGTGTGCAGGTTTTCTGACCAGCATTTTGAAGAGACATTCCTCTTATCTGTGGAGCCCTTATTTAAATAAATGTGAACAAAAATGCATATGAATAAAACTTTTTGTGTTTGACACCGTGTCACCTGTAAATACATGTAATTTATGCTCCCTTGTTCCCATTCAATAAAGAGATTTTTCTTTTTTCTGTCAGTATATGTTTTATGTAACAGAGATAGTTTACTGGGAAAGAAATACTCTCTTGTATTTCTGATGAAAATTCTAAATTTTTAATGAGCAGAATCCTTCCTAGCACACTGTGTTTTATGTCTTTACAGATACGTGTATATATACATATATATGTTTCTTTCATTGGTAAAGTTAAGTACTCCAACAGCATGAAAAGCAAAATGCAGTTATGTTTAATGAAGAAAAATGTAAGCAGATGTTTCTCATATAGTCTTGGTGATTTCATTACCTACAGCAGTTCTTCTAATACAGTATTTGCTAGCTTGCTTTTTTAGTGTCTTAATTGTCAGTCCTTAGATTAGTTCTTTTTTGTGTCCTTTACAGTATGACATGGTATTTCTCTTGCTCTATTCTACTGAAAGATTTTCTGTTCCTAGGAAATAGGAGGGCCTAAATTAGAGACCATAATTAGATAGCACACAAATACAAATCTCACAACTCTAAAATAGTGCTTATGACACTGAGAACTAAGTGAACAAAAAGTTAAAATATTAAGCATCCATTTTCACATCCAAAATGGAGAAACATGTCTGTGGGTTTTTCTGAGCCATCACATCAGTGTTTTAGGTTGTGCTGAGAACTAAAAGAAAAGTGCAACAAGCTACTGAAATCAGACTTTAGAACGTGTTTTTTTCCTCTATTTAAACTTCACCTGTATTGATGACATTTTGTATGTGAAAAAAATATGATTGGAAAAACCCATGTTCAATCACTGGAACCCTCTCCTAAGTTTTATTAGGAACTGGGGAATGCACAATTCTCGTGGTATAATAAGCTCTCTTACTGCTGCTGTATAAATCTGAGTTGGAAGTGCAGTCAGTGCAGTCTAAATGAAACTGTGTGAAAT